AAAAAAGTTAAAGAGAGTATAATGATAACTGATAAGACATTAGAAACGGTACACATTTAGAAGACCAAGATAACAGGTATTTCAAGCATGGTTTTTGTATGACACATTATTTTCCTTAGTATAGTTGCTTAGTTTGCAGATGTCAGCATACAGAGTTAGTCAAGGTGAGAATTCTACACATTAACTGCTATTTTCAAAAAACTGATGGAAATTCTTAGAACAATCACCTTAGCCATCCTGTATATATTCTTGCATGTTTTTTCCCCCTAGTTTTTCCCGTCTTTTCTCTTTTCTCTCCTCTTGCTGTTTAATCTCTGTTTCTTTCTGTTTAACTGTGTTTGTTACACCTTTCAGGTTTTATTTCTTCTTTGGGTTCTTACACTAGGGAGACAATACGATACTTACACATGTGGGTCTGGTTTGTTTCACTTATGACTCTAGCCTCAAGTTGCATCCACTTAGTATGCTGGAATTACAAGTATGCACCACCACACCCAGCTAAGTTACCTGCATCAGAGAAAATTTTCTTTCTTATTTGTTTCTGTCAGTTGCTTAGGGGTACTGAACTTAAAATGTTTTTCAGCCGTATAGATAAAAATAATGTAATCTCTATATCTGAAACGCCTGAGGAGGAGGGCCAATTTTTGGTTTGCATTTAATGTGGAGGCTTTCCCTTCTCTTCCTCCTTGAGTGAATGCTGTTACATATTCTGTTTTCTTCTTCCAGGCTACTTGTTTCCTTCCATAATTTCTTTTTTCTTACAGTTATTACCTTTTGGCTGTCCCAGTTCTGGGCAGTGTCCCTCTTCTGAGGCATCTACTTTGTAAGGGCCTTGGCACTTAGCCATTAAGAACCAAAGTTCCAATCACAAATCTCCCCCCACCAAATTAAAACTGATTTCAATGCTGAATTTTTTTTTTTTTTTTTCCTTTTTTTTTTTTTTTTTTTTTTAATGTATTTAGTTATTTAGTACAGGGTCTCACTGCACAGATTAGGCTCATAGTGATTCTCCTGTTTTCAGCCTTGCAAGCCCTGGGATTACAGGTGTGCACTACCACACCCAGGCTTACTCACTGTTCGGTGCACCCCAGGGGCGGGGCCGGCACAGCATGCTGGGGATCAAACCCCAGTCCCTGCATCTGCCTAAGCAGGCACTTTAATCTGCTGAGCTATCTGGCCAGCCCTTAGTGCTGAGTTTCTGCTTACTGAATTGCTCTGTGAATTCCTGCTTTCAGGGATAATTTGTCTTTAATTTTTTACCTGCTTAGCATTAAAATTGTAGAAATTAATTTATATACTGTACATTCAACCATTTTTAGTGTATTATAATGCAGTGATTTTTTATTGTTTGTGGAAGTGTGCAGCCATATAACCTAGGTTTAGAACTTTTCTATCATTCACTTATGCTTTGTATCTTACTCCTTAGTAATTTGAAAGAAAGAGGCTTATCCTCTGTATTCTTTCTTCTTTTCCCTTGTTTGAAAGCTGTTACAACCTTTTTGAAGGGCTCTGAAACTTTTTCACCTGAGTTGGGACTTCTGCGTTATTTAGGACAACTTCAAGAACGTTGAATTATTGATTTCATTGTTACTTGTTAATAACAGGAATTCTGAGCATTTTAAAGAAAACTTGGGTGGTAGCTTGACTCAAGGCTCCAGGGGGATGCAAAAGAGGTTTTGAAGCACACCCCCACCCCCTGCCTGCTACTTCAGTCATGGTTAGAGTTCCCCATGCCACCATTCTGCTCACATGTTCACTCCTACAAAGGGCAAGCCATTAGGCAAACAAAGAGCTCTCTTCTACAAAGGCTCTTGGGTTGAGGGCAGCTGAGTAATTCAGCCAAATATAAAACTAGGAGCAGTTAATATGGATGTGGGAAACAACTTTTCTTTGTTTGATATAAGAAAGTCATAAAGTCAGATATAGTGGCAAATAGTTTTAGGGATATTTTTTCAACAGACTTCATTCACTTAAACTCTTTAAAGATAATCCATTGTAGTAGAGCTTTCCTACATGGCTGAAAAATTGTCTTTTCTGCTTTGTACAGATGTCATATTTGTTGATCTGACATACCCTGGCTTTCACAGTCAACAACTCAGATTGTCACTGGGTTACTTCTAAGATCAGCAAAATTCAAGGCTGACCTAAAGATACATATTCTTCTACAAGATTCGTCCATGTTTTGAGCAAAGGAGAACTGAGACAGTGAGGGATCTGTGACCTCAAAGCCAGTGGTCACCGTGTCAGTGATAGTCCACTTCTTAGGTCAGTGACATTTATCTTGCTGATGCACAAGTGATATAACTATCGTAGCAAAAATATCTGAAAATACTGCTTACTTATCTACAAAGTCTCCACTCTGCTAGGTCCTCTGGAAGTTAGGTGCTCCAAGAGTTTGTAATTCAGACATTAGAGTCTTCTTTAGTCTCGGTATAGACTGTTATTCCAGATTTCTAGAACCCCAGATTTTCCACTGAAAGGAGTATTTAGGAAACCCCTTATTTTCCTCCTGTTTCACTATGGTCAGGCCTGTAGTGTATGAGGTTGGCCTCTCGGCACTGTGGTGGAGATTTCAGTTGCACATTTGTCAATGTTAGAAATGAGTAGCCCTATCCCTGGAGGGTGAATTGAAGCTCATTCATCCAGAGAAGACTGTCAGTGACAGGCGCTGTTTCCTCCACCCAGGCCTTCTGAAATAGGCAGTGTTCTCTTTTATAGAACATCACCACATCAACAGTACATGAGAACATTTCAAAGTAATGTTATAAAATAATAACCCTTCCATACCTCTTGTTTTGTTATGATTTGTATCAGAAAATAGAAGATGGCTTACAGAAATCAGCCATTTTATAAGTTTTAAGGATTAAAAAAGTTGATACTAGAAGGTAGAAGGAAGAATCAGAATGAGTCTACAGCCTGGCTGCCTCCTGAAAGATGAGGGTGGATGGGTCTGCTTGACCTCTCCATACTCACCTCACTGAGGAGCTTGGTGAGTCTAAAGTTGTTAATTTTGTGATTGGCATCAAATTTTGGTTTTTGAATCCCTTCTTGAGGCAGTAAAGTAATAGAAATAAATTAATTTTCATCTATATATCTAATTTAAACTTTTATCTTCTGTTTCACATCATAAAATACACAGTTCAAGGGTAATTTTTCCTCCCAATACTGAGGACTAAACCCAGGGCTAGGCACGTGCTAGGTGCTCTACCTGAAACTATTCTCTCAGGCCTCCTGAGTAGCAGGTGTTACAGGCATACATAACTATATCCAGCTGAGGGTAATATTTAAGTCTTGAGTTTTACAAAATGTAGATTAGCTCATACTTTGTAGTAATCATCAAACTACACAAAGAAATGGAAATCTACAGTCATTTCTGCAAATTGTCATCCCGAAAAGAAAAGCCTCTTTGCTCAGGTTGACAGTAGACAACAGAGAAAGCTATAGATGTTGCTTCATGTTATTTTTGAAGGCCCCATAAATATCAGTGATCTGACTTTGCATTTCCTTATGTTTAAATTGCACATTATTTGTTTCTCTTTGTTATTAGGTGTTGTAGGATTTTGATAGTTAACAGTCTTACAGGAAGCTGATAATCTTTAACTGTGGCACAGCAAACAGCCATAATCTTGTATAATTTTTCTTGGGCGTGTATGTGCTTAAGTTCAGTGCAAGAGTGAAAATCAAAGGTTATTGCCATTGTCCTTGTTTACTCTGGTATTAGATTCTGGAAAGTGCCTCTGATACTCCACTGCCTATGCCTTTATCATTCATAACTTAATTTGCACCTGGGGTAAAGATGTGTCTCAGCACTGTGTAGTCAGTTGGGCCCTGGCACCGCTAATGGATTTGACAAGTCTATTCATTTAGAAACATGGGTAAGTAATCACTGCCTTCACAGTTGCTACAGAGCACTTTGCTCAACCCAGCCAGAGATTTAGCCAAACAAGTATGGCAACAACTTGGAAAGATGGTTTCTGGCTCCATTAGCAGTATCACTAAGATGGTTGGCTAAGAAGATAAAGATTTAATTTCAAATTAAACACTGTCAGTCAGGAAAGGGTCAAGCTGTTGATGTTTTTAAAAACCCAAGTGAAGAACAGTTTTGCTCTCACCTATGGAATATCATCTTCCTCTTTCTATTTTTTGCAGATGGCCTTGGGTCTGTCTTGATGTTTTCTTCATGCTTTTTTATTTGCAAAACAGACCTGTGTTCAGATAAGATGAATCGACTTAAATCAAGCATTCATACACCTGTCAAAGGGGAACAGCAATGTAGAATTTTTATTTCCGGGGTGGGGGAGATAGCTCAGTGGCATAAGTGCCTGCCTGGCAAGCGCAAGGTCCTGTGTTCAATCCCTGGTGCTTTAAAAAAAGAGAGAGAGAGAGAGAGAAAAAAGAATTTTATTTCTCTCCTTCAAAAACAGAGCAAAATTTATATTTATTTGTGGATACAGATGTTGCGCCCCCCCCCCCCCTTTTTAAGACAGGGTCTTGCTATGTAGTCTGTGCTGGCCTGGAGTTCACTGTGTAACTCAGACAGGCATTGGACTGGCAGTGATCCTCCTGCCCCAGCCTCCAGAATGCTGGGATTACAGGTTTGCACCACTATACCAGGCCAACAGTGTTTTCTTGATGCCCTTGGTTTTTCAGCTTTCTTCATAGTACTGCTAATACAGAAAAGCCTCATTCTCAGGTTAATGTATAAGCAGGTTAGAGTCCCTACACAGGCTCTGAGGTATGGGTTCTGGGATCTCTCCTGATCCTGATACTACCCTACACTATGATCTGTGTGTTCTGAGGCTGTATAGTTTCCTTAATACAGAGGTTTAAAATGTGTCCCCGTAAGCAGGTTATAAGAAATGAAGTCCCACTGGTGTACTCATCTGTTCTGGAAAGTTCTTGGGTTGGGGTATATTTATTTCTATAAATAGGTATATAACTATTTCCCTTAGTCAAAAGAAAAAATCCTCAAGAGGTGTTTTTGTATTGTTCCCTCATAGGTTGCCAACTTGGCCTGTTCCATCTCAAACAATGAAGAAGGTGTAAAGCTTGTTCGAATGTCTGCAAGCCAGTTAGAAGCCCTCTGTCCTCAGGT